CTCCCTTGTTTTAGATATGTCATCTGCTCCCCACAATGTGGCTGGTACCTCTCACTCTCTGTGCTGGTGGGGTGAGGCAAAGTGACACTGGAGCCAGCCAAAGCTCTTGTGCATAGCTGCAGCAAGGTGGGGCAGTGCCATGGGCTCCATCAGCTCTCCCTGCCAGGCATGGCGAGGTGCTGTATGGCTAGGAGATCCCCAGTGAAGTGCCATGTGGCCAGGGGATCTCAGAACTGGAGGGCTTGTAGGCAAGTATGGGCTCCAGGCAGCAAGTCCTGCCTTCCCATGTGGCCCACATATGAAGTCAGGGATGTGTCTGGTGTATATATATGTATATATCTCCAAGTGATCCCTCCTAGAGGTCCCATCCCATGCTGGGGACACATGGGATGTATGCCTCCCCAGCATGCACACTGTCCCTTTCACAACTGGCAGTGAATGACCCAACTGTCTATGAGGCAGCAGCAGTGGTGCAAGTTTTAAATTAAAAAAAAAAAAAAGCCCCAGTACCTAAGTTCTGATGTCTGAGTATCTGAGGATGCCATGTGGCATCCCAGGTGGGATGGGAGCTGTGGACGTGTACTTCAGGTAGCCATCAGCACCAAGGTATGTATCTGCAGGATGTGGGTATGGGAAGTGCCTGCCCAGGTCTGCTTCTGCTGCTTCAGTGTTGACGAGGCATTCTAAAAACTTCATTGTGGTAAGGATTGTCCTCTCTTCTCACCGTTTTGGTACATTTGTGCAGCCTCTCTGGGTTTGTATGATGCATGTCTGAAAAGGAAACAGGAAGGAGCTGCAAATGGAAATTTCAAGCTGTCAGCAACAGAGCAAACCCCAACCAACTTCCCATAGCCTAGGTGTAAAACTCAGGCTGTGCACTTCAGCTTCAAGTGACAGAAGATGCTGAATTTTACACAGAGTCTTCTGAGATCAGCAAGTTCTGGAGATGAAAGAAATGTCTTTGTCTTGGTTGTATCTGCCCCAGGAGAGGGCCTAGGTTCCAGCATCCCTTGGCACAGCTCTGCCTGTTGCCTGGAGCCCTCTCTGAGATGTTGTTCTTTAGTCTGGCCACCCTATTTTGTTTGGAGGTGGCTGTGGGAGAGGAGCTTGCCGTGTATAACAGCTCTGCTGTGCCACTTGATGATGGGGGAGAGAACACTCCCTGGTCTGTTTTGCTCACAACATAAATCATAGTGTCACATTTGTTTTGGCTTCACTAGAATTGTACCAGAGAGCTTTAGCCCATAGCTGTATAATGCATGTCCAGCTGCCATGAAAATGCATGTGAATAGAACAGGAGAAACGATCTATGATATGAGAGCCTAATACCTGTATTGTCAAATATTTCTGTGTGTACACCATCACCCAGTCCAGAACTGGTCAGCACAAACAGTGCATGGAAGAGTAGAGAGTTTATTCTGATCTCCAGTTAATCAGTTTCTCACCCAAGGACTGATGAGTGTGTGACCTTTTTCTAGGAAAGAGCCACTCCCACCAGCTATAAAATTTCACAAATCCACAAAACAAACAAGTTGCCATTCTGCAAAACCCTCATACCTATGGAATCCTCATTTCCTGCGAGGTGTGGATTTCAGGTGAGCAGTGCTGGATTCTTGGATTACTTTGCTAGGCTGAAGGAGCATACCCAATACATGTGTATCTGTAAGTTGATATGAATCCAACTGAGACTAAAAAAATTAGCAGTGAAGTTGTGCAAGTTTTGCAAAACTTACAGTGTCCCACATAGGTGGTTGTTGTGCTGGTCTGCTTTCATACAGGTAAGGGCTTCCTTCTATGTAAGTGTGAGGATGAGTGAAAATGTGATTGTCCCATAGTACTGACAGATTAAAAACATGATTTTCTAGAGCTGTGAACTCTAGACTTGGTAGAATGGACAGAAAGAGGATAATTTTTCTGGAAAAGACTGGGTAGCTGAATAGGGATTCTTTTAAATAGGATGAAAGTAAGAGAGCAAGGGGTGTGGATCATCAGTGCTTCACATTTGAAAAAAAGAGCATGAGGATTTTCAGTACATGGGGAGAAGAATGGAGACAGAAAGCAAATCCAGAATATGTGAAGGTAGAATCTTCATAAGGCCTTGCTGCAGGGCTTGTTTTCTGTGCTAGTGGTTTGGGGAACTGGTAAAACTGGACTGGGATATTAAAGGCTGTAATCCCAATTCATCATTTATAGCCTGCTCATGTCCAGGCAGACACGTCCATCCCAGCCTTCTCAGATACAGTGAACTGCTGCATTTCACAATCATGGGAAGGGCTTCCCAGCTGCACGATCCGAGCGTTTTGAAGTGACACATGGTGCATTATATTAACTTGGTTCAGACAACCAGCTTTAAACATCTGAATCTGATTTCTTGATGCTAATTCTTCTTGCTCAATCTTTATTTCAGCTGTGTGGAATTCTCAGACCTTTTTGACCCTGACTTATCATTTCCTGATGTTTTATTGCTAAGTCATTGAGGTTTCAGGGAGGCTGATGTTTCTAAAATGTGCACACCTTTGATTGTATGCATGGCTGGCGTGTCAGAGCAAACTTTTCATACGCTCTGTATATATCACTGTCTGCAGTGCTGTGTGCTCTGCAGTTGCACCATTTGGTGTGCTTATCTGCATGCCCCATTAGTGCAGTCCTCCTTAAAATGTGGTTGTTATTTAAGGCTTTTCAAAAGCTCAGCCTCTGCACAGTACAAAATTTGATCTGAGCCTACGTCCGCTCTTGTCACTCAAGTACAGGTTCCATCTGTTCCCCTTTTCCTCTCCCGTTGCTGCTTGCCACATCCAGACCACATGCTGCTTATACATTGTACAATAGACATTTCTGCACACACACTTCTGAAAATGTGGCTCTTAGTGCTTTATTGTTCACATGTGTCTTGTTGCTTAAGGCAAGTTTTATCAGTAACAATTTTGTTGTTTACTGACACATAGAATAAAATGGATACTGTTAAAATGTGACTTGAGGAGAGTAAAAAGACCTTTGATACACCAGTTACACAATTTCTGCCAGCTTTCTGATCACTCTCCCCTGCCACCACTTCCCCAAAATCTGTAGTTCCCCAAGAATAAAGCAAGATCCTAACATCACTCACGGTAAGGGCCACTCCACTCTGCATGAGGCTGCTCCATGTTGGTAAAGACTCACCAGCACCTCCCCTGCTCCTGTGTCTGGTGAGGAGAGAAGATGGGACCTTCTAGCATTCCCTTCCAGCAAGGCAGCTCTGGCTTCTGCTTTAGATCTCTTTTACAGGTCCCCCGTGGTACCTTGCAAAATGGCTACATTCCTCCCTTTGGGGAAAGAAAATTCCCTAAAGGAACTAGTTCCAGAAGTGGAATCAGTGCTAGGAAAGCCTATGAAGACGCTTCTCTTGCAGGAGCTGAGCTGACCTCCAGCAGCTCTCCCAGTGTGCAGACTGGAGCAGACCCAGAGGTATGCAATGACAAGGGAATTAACACAGGCAGATTCCCTGGGAGCCTTCTCAGACATGTGGTGAGACTGGAGTATCTGCAAACAGATCACAATGGGTGCAACTCCCAGTAATGTTCCTGGGTGCCTGCAGCAGGGATAGCACACAGCCCAATACACTGGATTATTGCCACCCAGGGATTTCCCACACCAGGAAAATCCCCAACTGCCCCAAACCTCGTTTCCCACCTGGAGAAACCCAAGAGCTGCCCATGGCAATGATAATTTCTCCTGCTGGGGAAGAGCACAAATGGTAGGAATAGAACCGGTTTCTCTCCAATGAAAGCTCCCCTGCCAAAGACAGCGTGTGCTTCCGAGACAGACAAGTCCCCTACGAGCAGCCACACAGCTCCACTTGCATCCTGCACATGCAACCAGAGGCTGAAAAAACACTTCAGGACAGGATCATAAAGAGCCTTTTCTGACCATGGACTACAGCCATGGCTCATAGGGTGTCTCATGGCTATTGTTCCACCCTGTGGCTCCCATCCCAGTCCTCTCTGCAGATCAGGAGAAGCAGTGAGGAGACCCAAGGTCTCTTTTCCCTCAGAAGGGGTGGGTAGGAAGAGCCAACTTTTGTTTGCACCAAAATTCTCATCATTTTCAGATACAATTCACTGAATATTCTGTGTACCACCCTGTACCAAATTTGAGGTCATCCATTGGAGGGGAAGCATGAAGGATACAAAAGAAGAGAATGGACCAAAGCTCTTGGCAAGCTGTAGTAAATTGGAAAAGAGGCAGGTAGGAACAAAAATGAAGCAAGTGCTTAAAAGAGTTATTCAGGAGAAACAAGGGCTTTAAATGACATTTGAGTACGGGAAAGAAATCAGTATCCGTGGTTTCCACCGGTGTTCAGAGTGCTAAAAGCAGAAGTGGTTGCTGAAGTCTAAACAGGAATGTGAGGCTGAGCTCTCAGCTTCCTCCCAAATTGTATGATTTACAGGTTCACTTGATTTACAGGCTCACGTGCAGAATAGGCCTTATTTTATAGAATTTCAGGCCTTTTTGAAACAAATCGCTTTGTGAGCAGTGGAACTAATGGCTCTTGGTTTCCTGAGGGTCTCTGACCACTGTTTCATACTCACCTCCCTTCTCTCCTCTCCTCCTAAAATAAAATGGCTGCAGTGAGCTCCACTCTTCCCTCATTATATGCTCCAAGACCCTTTCCTGGGCTACAGTCAGTTCCATATATACTGGCTGATCAGCTAATACATACATGGCCAGCCAGCATGCACATAGCCAGGTGACTGCTGGCTGCATTTCTTTCTTTCTTTTCAGCTGAGGTCCCTGCCCCTCACACTGCAGTTTGCACAAAATTTGGAGAGGAAATCAGTAGCTGTTGAAATTTCTACCTTTCAGTCCTGTGTGAAATCAGGTACAAATTATTGATGGAGCTGGACAGACAGATGGAATCTGAGCTAAAAAGGTTCTGTTGTATTGGCTTTGGATGTACATATAGCATATTAGTCCAGGTTCTGGAATTCATTTCTCTCTCTCTTTCTCTCTCTCTTTTCCAGCTATTTTTAACCTGGATGTGTTCTGTGATCTGTTTCCCACACAGCACAGAAACTGGCACAGCTGAGGGGTGAGTGAGTGGTGGGAGAGGGGAAATCAGGGGATGCTTATGTTGGTGCTGCTGCTGAAAGAACTGCTCATCAAACGATAGCCTCTCAGATCTGTGTAATGTGGAGTCCCACACCTCCCCACAGAAAAATTGTTACTCTAAATATATTCACAGTCTTAAAGTGCTCGGATACAGGGCAAAAAGAGCTAGAGAAATTAAGGGAAACTCTAAAAATAACCAGCAGAAACAGCAGCCAGTTTTGAAATGTAATGTTTTCTGTCATAGCTTAACATCTTGGTACTGCCCACATTCTTGTGTGTACATCTCAAGACATCCCTTGCAGAGGATCTCATAACGAAAATCCTGTTTGTGGCAGCTTAGTCTCTGCACAGAGTGCACATCAACTCAGAAACCCTTTATCTGACTTACTATACATGCAAACCTCAAGCTTGAAAGAACAGAGTTTTTGTATGGAAAAACATAGGAAAAAGCTTCTTGAGTATTAATTTACAAAATGAGACCTCTAAATGTGAAGGATTTCTTCAGTTAACTATAGATAATTATAATGTGTGAGATCTGCTTTTCCCCCCATGTTCTGTTTAACACTGTTTGTTAGACATGAAAGGAAAAGAGGATTAAAAGGGAGAGATGGTATTGTAAACAACCCTTCAGGGGAGGTGGGAAAACAACAGTAACTCTCTCAAACAGAACACAAAGATGCCCTTAGGAAAAGGTTTTCAGTGTCCTGCATTTGAAAGTTAATGAGTAAATTGATGTCAAATATTGCTTTAAGGACTGACAGTGCCATCTTTAAGATCTCAAGCATGCACCACAACTGAGAAAAGACAAAGGGAATTTTTAATGGGCAATAAATGGATTAATATTTTTTGAAGCAAAGCTACAAGCAGGTTAGTTCTCATGGGATGTGAATTTGGTCTGTACTTCCTGGCACTGTGACTTTATTTTTTTCATTGCTTTACACTGGCTTTTGATGAAGCACTGATTTTTCTTTCAAAAGAAAGAAAAAAAAAAGGTGGTCTTAGTAAATAATCCTCCTTCAAGTTACAGTAAGTCCCTTGAGGTGTACAGAGTTGGCTGGTTTGGGGGTTGTGTCGGCACGTGCCAGACCATCTGCCCACTACCCTGTTATGCCTTGCCTCACACCAAGCTCAGGTTGCTTGGTCATCTCGGCCCCTGCAGAGATGTTGCAAGACCACCTTGTACAGATGCCTCCTTCACCCAGAGCTACCTGCCAAGAATGTTTTAAGACCCTACTAATGTCTTGCCAACCTTTTACCCACTCAGGGATCCCAAAACCATACCACCTGTTCCCAGCTTCCTCTTACTTATGCTCACACCTCCGAAATGCACAGCAACTTCACAAACCTTTCCTACTCCCCATTTCTCAAAAAACTCCTTTGCCATCACCACAACATTGAGACACATCTGCTTACACTACCATAAGTTGCCAGCCTAAAAAAAAAAAAAAAAAAAAAAAAGAAGAGAGAACACATGCCCAGCCTTGAGGGAGTGCATCAATAACACCTCCACCCTCTTATCACTGCTGCTCTCTGGCTCACTTAACCTATTCCCAAGGGTCAGCCACTACCTTCCAGTACTTTCTCCGTGGATAAAAAACACTTAGTTTAACTTTTCTGCTCAGCTGCTATGTTCTAGCTCTTCCAGAGCAACTAAAACCCCAGTCTGTTCACACCTTCATGCCAGACCCTGCCTCTCAGAGCTAAGGGTTGTAGTGCTCCTTGAAAACCTCCCAACACTCAGCTTCTCTCCAGGAGACATCCTGACCTAGAGCAGCATCTGCCCTCTCTGCAGGAGAGGTGCCTGTGCTCCAGCACAGATCACATGACTCCCTTGTCCCCGCAAGCTCGAGTACTTCAGTACTTGGACAGAGAGACAGGCTTGGCTCCTCTGTGTCATCTGCCTCCCTTCTCAGGGCATTTTTCAATACATTCCCCGTCTCCTCTCTCTCATTAGCTTCTGGGTTAGTCTCGAGCTTATCCCTATCTAAATGACAGGCTGCCAAACAGGCACATAAGCTTTCACTTGGCTTCCACCAGGGAATACAGCTTTGATCTGCTAAGAATGTAACTCTTAACAGTTCTCCTGCCCCATCAGAGATGTGGGATCAGCTCTGCTGTGCTTTCTCTCTCCCCTTTGGAAGTCCCCATGAGCAAGAATGCAAGCTTTACACTATCCAAAAGCAAGATCACACCTTTCATACACAGGTACATACTCAGACATACATACACTGGCTCTACTGCATCCTGCCCCATTTCTGAGCAACAGGAGCATGAAAGTAGGGAAGCAAGAGGATACTGAGGTGCTCTATGTTTTTATGAGAGAGAGACTGCTTGAACCAAGTGGCTGAGTTCTGTGTAGTCCCACCTAACTGGCACAAGGCTCTAGGCAAGCTTGTTGTGACTGTCTTTGGAAAAACTGGAGTTCAGCTTTCGTCTGGCTGATAAAGTTGGTATTGTAAAGAAACCAGAAATACAAGTCCTGCTCAAGAGCTGTGCTGTGCCTCGGGCAAGAATATGAACACAGGCTTCTCCTTCCAAGTTACAGTGAAAAAATCAGGTATTCTCAGAACAGCCCTGGCGGGCAAAGCCTTGCTTGCTGAGGTACATGTAGTTTGTACATCTAAGGGCAATGATGCGAGACTGGGGACAGCTGGAGCAGGGAAACACAAATCCATTTGGATAAAGGGTTTCTCCGTGGTGCAGAACCAAAGAAGAGTTTCAGCACCATGTTTCTCCTAGGCACAAGTCAAATCATCTTGATGCCTCAATGGATTTGACTCACCAAGAACAGCGTCACATTCAGCACAAGGTGAAGCACAGAGTAATTGCATGGGCAGGTGTTTGCAGAGAAGCAGATGGAAAAGGTGGGTGCTCCGATACTATCATAGCAAGCATGGAAGAAAGAGTTTGAAGAGGGCTAGGAAAAAACCTCAAAATTCTCCTTACCATGCATGAGATAATTGGTACAGCAAGGTTAAGTCTGGATCTTTTCAGTGGGAGGAGGAAACCTCCCAAGCTGAAAACTGTGCTCCCATTCCCTGTCCTCATCCAATGCCTAGACTCATGTCAAGCATCAATATTGTGTGAAACACAAGCCCTAGTACATATCAATGCAAAAATCCTTGAATTCGAGCAAGTTCCATCACACTCCAGGGAATGTCCAGTTTCCCAACTTGTTTTCTGCTCCTTCTGTGCCTTGATTCATGCTAGACATGGATTTAGTCTTTTAAAAAAGACACCTGGATTGAACAAAACAGTCTTTTTACTGAAAAACCTGTCCTGAAAAAATTTAGTCCTGAAAAACCACACTCAAACATCCCTCCCACTCCCTTGCTGCAAGTGCAGTGCTGGACATAAGTCATCTCTCCAAATGCAGGTGTCAAACTCAGAAAAGGAAAACCAAGCAAACTCCCGGGACTCCAGTTAGTCAACTGACTGGATCTGCACTGAGTGTAAAGCACAAGCTACACTCCAGAACTCACTGACACCTCCCTGAAATCCTGAGGATGCACAGTTGGAGACCCAAAGCCAGACCTATAACGTGCTGTAGAAAAATAACAGCTGCTGTGAGGTCCCAAGTCTTGCCATAGCAGGGACTCTTTGGCAGGTATTTCAGAGTCAACACATCTAGACCCCTAACATTATTCCCATCCAGTACTGGTGTGTATTTTAACTTGGACAGTGCCCAATCTGCACAGTTAGTGTTTTCCACACAAAAATGCCTGGTTGGTAAACTTCCAAGAAGTTCTATTTTAGATTCAATGAAGAATAGCAGCTTTCCATGGAACTTAACTTTGTTCTTTCTTCCTCTCTTTTCTCTCACCCCAAGATTCCTAAAACACCCATAAATTTTCATTTGGAAATGCTACCTGGGGTGCTTTATGGATGTCAGAGTTCATTTGTTCTGTCCTTCAGGCAGTAGGATAGTTTCATTAGAAGCCCTTTTGTACCTTGAAAAAATACCTGGGGGGGCAAGGAAGGTTACAGTGTCCCACCTTTACCTTTTCATTGAACTGCTTTTCCTGAAGAGAGTGCAGTAGAGGCTCTCCTGTTGACTTCTGAAAATTCACAATTTTAACACTGTGCTGCTGCTCCTGTGGTGTGTATGAGTGTATGGTCACTCATCACCATGAAGGATGAGGAGCAGAATCACAGCTGTGGAGAAGCCACCCCTCCATGCTCAGAGTATAGATCTGCTAATGTGCAATTGCCTCAAAGTGGGAGATACAAACAAATCCTACTGGAAATCTCTTATTCTCCTGCATCCAGGTTCTCCTACTTCTGCATAAGAGCTGTCCCACAGCCTGCAAACCATGTCCTAAACAGCTGAAATTTGCAGGAGCATGCCATCTCCTTATCAGCTCCCACTTTGTGGTACATTTCTATACTTGTTTTGTCCCCTTCTGTGTCTCCATAGCTCTCAGAAAGAACTGAGCTCCTTCCAAGTTGTAATGATCCTCACTTGTTCACTCCCTCACAAACAGAAATCACTTTGGCCAAAAGCCAGGACTGCAGAAAGGGCCAGGCACATGCACGGGCAGCTTAAAAGCACCTCAGCTTTGGGAAATCCCGCTGGGCTGTAACAGCTGCCACAAACCCAAATCATATCAAGCAAGGCCTGTCTGATAATTCTTTGGCTCAATCCCCAAACTGGCTAAACTGCTTTTCCATACAAAGTATTTCCAGGTGGGTTATTAGGTCCTGTATCCCTTCCATGTTGTATTCTCTCATGGTTGAAAAAGACATTCCTTAGAACAAGCTATTTTTAACAGAAAAGCAAATATTCTCCTTTATATTTCTGGCTCCTCTAAACCAGAAGGATACTTTGCAAGACACAAACTGTTCCCACTGAGTAGCACATGGGTCTTATCTGCCCACAGTGTCTGTGCCTGTGCAGGACTTTCAGTTGGGGATATAATTTACATTTTCACAAGGAGATTGCTAGTAGAAGTACCAGTGTGAAGAGTTATGCAAGTATGAAGGGTCATGCTCTGTTAAATCTAGTTTCCCTTCCTGTATTTTTACAGCAGCATCACTACAGCCACATTTGAGTCTGTGCTGCTTTAATTGTACCAGAGGAGTTAAAAGGAAAGAACTGAGCCAAGCGTGCCCCACAGCTGGTTCTGGCTGAGCTGTGTGAGTCGCAGTGTGAGAAGGCTGCAGAAGCCTGGCTCCATGCAGCCCTCCCAGCTTCAGGTAGGCACACCTGGGCTGTTTTACATGTGTGCACATGAGAGCCATCAGTAAAGCCTTGCTGAAATAGCTGCACCTAAATAAACCCTTCATGGTGTAAGAGAGCAAAGCTTTGGGAGGGCTGGTTTGTGGCACTCCCTGTGGTGGATGGAGCAGGCATTGATCGACCTGCTGTGACTCTGGTCCATTGCAAAAATCTATGCCCAAGGCGAACAGGATTGTTGGAAAACAACCACAAGTGCGAGACCTGTAGATCTGTAACTAGATACTGCACGACAGAAGTAGGTAAGGAAAAAACAGAGCTTTCATTTGAAAACTGTAAGGAAAAAAAAAAAAAAGGTTTGTTGGTTGATTTGAGTCTCTCGGGTCTCTCAAGGGAGGTGGAGACAGAACAGTATGAAACCCAGAGGTTTCTGTGCGTTAGAACAAAGTGTTTCACTTTGAGACACTTGCAGACACGATGATCTGGACATGTGTCTTTAGGAAAAAAAAAAAAAATACCCGGCAGTGACCAACAAAATCTGGCCAGGCGGCGATCGCCGGGGTCTGACCGAGCTGCGGGTGAGAGGCCTGTCCCCAGGGCGGGCTGCCTGCGGCACACGGTGCCAGCCAGCATTTCTTTCTCAGCGCTGCTGGGAAGAGGCAGGTCTCGATGGGAGCCCTGTCAGCTGCGTGCCGCCTCGCCAGGCCTGTGCTCCGGGCTGCAGGCAGGGCCGGAGCTCGGGCTGCAGCGCTGCAGGCAGGCCCGCGGCACCTCCATGACTCAGGCTCCCGGCTGCCCTGCACGGCCTTCCTCCCCGGGCCGCGATCCTGACATCGCCCACTCTGGATACCGTCATCTTTTTCCAAAGACAGCGCTGCCAAGCGCTGCTGCCAGCGGCTCACGGCTGTGCCAGGCACTCGGCCAAAGCTCCTGCCCTTAGCCCACGGCAGCCCGGCTCGTCGATGAGTCCCAGGGAGACAGCGTGAGGGCTCCTCTGGGCTGCAGAACAAGCTGGGAGTCCTGGAAAAACTGCGGCATTACCAGCCTGGCAGAGCCTGGAGAGAGGAGCCTCGTGCTCTTGCGGGAGAGCAAAACAAAGCAGGAGCTGTTGCAAACACTTTCTATTTCCTCCCAGTGAATAGTAGAAAGCCCCACCCAAATTTCACTCCTCACTCCCACTTTATGTTAAAAAACAAACACACTCAAAAAAAAAAAAAAAAAAAAGAAAAAAGTCAACATTTGCTACTGCGTGTTGTCCTTGCTTCCATGTGACCCAGGCATGTGATTAAGTTGTTGATACTTGTTTTTTATAGGATCAAATTCATAGCTGCTGTAGAAGCCCGTGTAACTTGTCAAAGCAATTCTCTACCCTGGCAAGTTACACAAGCTGAGGAGCTTCCGTCGGCCACAGGGTATCCTGCCCATCTCAGCCTTCTCCCTGCATGTGTGGCTCCTTCTCTCCATCCCAGCAAAGCCACCAGTTGTATACATTTTTAGGAAAACAGGCAAAATCCCTCTTAGCTGCGCTGCAGATCTTGGTGAGACGCCCCCACCCCATGGCAAGTCAGTATTTTCTTCCAGCCTTTCTTTCTTCCTTTTGGAAGTGCTGCTTAAATACAAGAGAAGGATAAGACTCCAAAAAAAAAAAAAAAAAAAAAAAAAAGGGCCAGCTTGCCAGCCTGCTGCACGCTCTGTGTTTGGTTTTCGCTCACAGCCAGCACAGCCCTGCCTGTGTGGATCTGTTGAGTCATGTTGCATGGCTGGATGGGATGGGGCTGTTTGCTTCCAGCCTGCTTTCTGTTCCCAGGTCTCCTGAACCATCAAATGTTACCCATGCTCGGGAGCCACAGTGTTGCCCTCAGGCCTCTTTCCCTCCTTGGCAGGCAGGAGCTCTGGGGGATCAAGGGGTCATGCAGAGCCTGTGTTGGGAAAGCATGGGGACGCCCTTTTCCTGATGGGGTAGAAATAACCATGGCCCTGCTCGTGGTGTCTCCCTGTGACCAGCGTGCAATGCACTGGGCCACGTCAACCCAGCAGCCCCTTCTCAGGTCTCAGTAGTTCCTGTAAATAATGGGGCGAGCCTCTGCATCTGTGACTGCCTTTGAGCAAGCCTCTGAGATACCTACACAGGGCTCTGCTGCTGGAGTTGGCCAGGGACCAGGCCGGCACCTGACCTGAGGTGTCCTGTTTATGAACCTGGAGTCCAGACACAGGTCCATGATTACACAGAGACGTAAGAAGGAACCAGTGCTGCACTGTTGCTCCTCAGCACCCTGTCAAGGCAGCAGTGGGGGTGTGAAATGCCTGTGTCTTCCCTCAGCGTTAATTCCTGAGAACCACAGAATCATGGGATGTGTCAGGCTGGAAGGGACCCCAGTGGGGCATATGGTCCAACTCCCTGCTCAAGCAGGGCCATCCTAGAGCACATGGCACAGGACTGTGTTTAGACACTTCTCTGGGTGTATTGAGGCAGAAGACATAAGTGTCAACCTTAGAGATCTCCCCAGTTTTCCCCAAATCCATGTGTGCTTCCAACTGATGCAACACAGTCTTCTTGGGATTTGCTTTTAATTACAAATGAGTTTTTGTTCACAGTAGTAGGTACTACCTTTCCTTAGGGCTTTAACTGCTTACAAAGTTGTTCCTGCAGCAGTGGTGTCCCCTCCACTCTTTCTGCTGGGCTGACTGGTGTTAAATTGCTGTGGATGCTTCTACCTGCAGCCGTCGCCAAGCAATGGAGACGGTGCATGTTTTTTGAAGCAGGAATCAGCTGTAACAGTCCTGTAATCTCCCCCATACAGAAAAACATTTTATTTTTCTATGGGAGTCTTGTTTTGTTTCTGTCAAACATAAAGCTTGAAGGCAGCACTGGACGCATGCTTGCTTTTCCCCTTTCCCAATGTTTCCCTTCTTCTCTACTTTGCCACTCTATCTTCTTTCTTGTTGGAAAGCTAAATCTTTGAACATAACAATTTATCATCCCCTCTTTTCATAATGCCTGGATTTGAATAATAAAGTCACAATCTCTAAAACTCATTGAAAACTCTTTGAGTTGCCCCATTCTTTGATGTTGGTGTTCTTCTGTTTTAAAAAAAAAATTTTGAAAAAGCACATTGCTTTTAATGGCAATTCAGACTGTCAGAACCAGGAAGTTTTAGGCTTTCTGTGCTGAAGTAAGAAATAATAAAATGGATAACTTTGTTTGGGTTGGAAAAGACCTTCAAAGATCATCTGGTCCACCCCCACTGCTGTGGGCAGGGACATTGTTCAACTGGATCATCCGACCTGTCTTTTAACATTTCCAGTGATGGACATCCACTTTTCTGGGCAAGCTGTGCCAGCGTTTGGATGTTAGTCAGCATACATCATATCCCCAAAATATATTTATTTATAGCTTTTTTAGTTTTTTGGTATTCTGGTCATCTTGATCATGGCCTGTGTGAGCACCTAGTTGCTTCTCTAGGCTCTCTCCTGTGGCATGCTAGTCTGAAATTCCTTCTCTCCCAAGGAACTCAGGCAGCTCATGTCTGATTTGCATCAGACTTCTTGTGTCTGTGACACAGGCTAAGGTCTCTGTGCACTACTGGTTTCTTTTTGCTGAACAGGAGCCTCTAAATTTTTAAAAATCTTTATTCCCATGGTTGGGGAAGGTTCTCTTTTGCCAGATCACCAAACCATCAGCATGGAGATGCCAATTATCCATAGGTCCCTGAGCAATTAGTTAGATGGGGTTGAGTGTGTGGTATTCAGGAGCATTCAGTATATATATTTTTTTTCAGATCAGTATAGCTTGTTGTTTCTTGTTGAAAATTACTTTCTAATATTAACAACCCCCTGTCTTCTCAGAACTCTCTTTTTTTTTTCCTTAGTGATGCCAGCAGGAAACCCATTTCTGATGGCAGATGTTTATAGGAGTAATAGACCTTCAGTTTTCCAGATTTTAACTGAAATGCCTACTTTGCATTTCAAAAAAAAGAGAGTCTGAAATACATTGAGAAGGTCTGCCACTTTCTGAGAAACTCTATTAAAAATTAATTTTCAGTTCCTTCCTTTTTTGCCTGCCAATATTCTCTGGCAGGTGGGTGTTTTTTCTGGCCAGGAGGGGGGCTAATCCACATCTGTTTTCTTCTTAGCCTGGCAAGGCCTATAGGTCAGAGATTGCTCTGGTATTTGTGCTGCTGCTGAGGGCAATAGGCTGAAGCTCTTCACAAAAAACAGTTCAGCTGCTTTCATTCTCCTGAATCAACAGCTACTTGCAAAGCCAGAGAGGAGTATTTTTGCCAGTCTCAGATCTCTCTTATTTCCCCATGAAAAGTTACACAGACTTCTGTGCCAGGCAGTGGAGAAGCATCAACTCTCCTCAGTGGTCATCACAATTAACTTGAAGCTGTGAGCCAGAGCTGCATTTCATGAGCCCAGAGCTTTCCTGTGCAGGAGCTTTAGCCTTAGTGAGGGCTGCCACATTAGAGATGAGCTTCCAGGCTCTCAACAGCAAGTCTGTTGCAATAACTCTGTTGATCAAATAAAGTTTCTGTTCACAGCACAGAGCCAAAAACTGTTTCTGATTGCAGCCTTGAGGGGTATTTCTTGGCTCATAGTCAATGTTTTAAGCAATGTGCTGCTCTACAAGTCATTACCAATGTTTGAAATCTCTTCCTTCTTACTATTATCCTCAGAGATGTGGAATGAAGACTATTTACCTTTCCCTCATAGTTCATTATGATTATTAAGCCAGGTATGAGGATTTGTGCATGAGAGTTGAATATCGCAGGCCTGTTATGGCTGTGATATTATTTTCAGAAGTGAGTATATTCAGAAATATGGCCAAGTTTTTCTTTTTTTCTTCTCCCAACTGTATTTGTGTACAAAGATTTCAAGATTTCACAATACCATGTTGTATATGCACTCTGTGCTGAAAGCAGTA